CAAACTTAACTTTAAAGTCCTAAGACTTTTATCTTAGTTTGTTAGTAACTAATAAATAAACCATATTATCCAAGCCTAAAAGACTTTACTTCCTTTTGACAAGCTTTCACTCGAGATTCTCATATATAAAGGACCAAAAATGTATATAAAACGCAAAGCAAAAGTACACTGCAAACATATATCACAATACTTGATATAAGTTCGACTGAAATCGATACGGTAGTGCGGGAAAACTGCACACCAGTTATCTTTCATACAAGTGTCTCTACAACGTAAAGAAACCTTGAAGTATTAACAATTCACCTTGTATCATCATGTCTCTTAAACTTCATCATTCTGTCAAAACAGTCGTCTTTTTTCTCTCTTTTAGTAGAAATAGAGTTTCTGTAAAGACTTTTTTGGTAATGGATATTTACCGCTTCCTAGACAGCCTGATTTCTGCAAGGACAGTTTTTGGTAATGGATATTAAATGCTTCCTAGACAGCCTGGTTTCTGTAAGGACAGTTTTTGGTAATGGATATCTAACGCTTCCTATACAGCCTGGTTTCTGTAAGGACAGTTTTTGGTAATGGATATTTAACGCTTCCTAGACAGCCTGGTTTCTGCAAGGACAGTTTTTGGTAATGGATATCTAACGCTTCATATACAGCCTGGTTTCTGTAAGGACAGTTTTTGGTAATGGTTATTTGACGCTTCCTAGACAGTCTGGTTTCTGTAAGGACATTCAGTTTTTGGTAATGGATATTTAACACTTCCTAGACAGCCTGGTTTCTGTAAAGACTTTTTTGGTAATGGATATTTAATGCTTCCTAGACAGACTGGTTTCTGTAAGGACAGTTTTTGGTAATCCGGGATATTTAACACTTCCTAGACAGCCTGGTTTCTGCAAGGACAGTTTTTGGTAATCCGGGATATTAACCGCTTCTTAGACAGCCTGGTTTCTCATATTCACAGTTACCAGTTATCCCATTAGTGGTCATGTATAATTACATTGTATTCATTTTTTTATCAACCAACTATTTTCGGTTTTCAGATTATGTGCCACCTTTTAAATATTCATCTATATTAGGGAAACATTAAGATTAACTAAATATGCTTATCAGTCGACGACAAGAAGCTGACTGATGGCATGGCAATATGGGAAATATGATGACTAATGTACCAGATGTTGTTTTCGCTTATAAAAACGTCATATCCGAGTGTTACTAACTACAATTCATTCGATGTCCAGTATTTATTCCTTGAGAGATCAAAATCACTATAACAAAAACATAAGTCAAATCTCTTTATAATATATAACATACAGTTGTATGGTTACAATATCTACAAAGAATAAGCCAAGTTTACTAAAATTGAAGATTACCAGAATTGCATAAGGATAATTTGATAGCAACAATGAATCATAGAGAATCAGAGAAGAATTCGCTAGCAATGGCTTAAACATGTTGGCCCACAGTCCTTGGTACGTTCGCCTTAATTTTCATGTTATAAATAAGGTTGAAATAGTAATATAGTTATCACCGGTAGGAGTTCAAAATCATAAATATGACATCTTATCCACACGTAATTAGCTTTGTTAAATAAACCAAAAACAATTAATTTATTGCTATCTCCTAGGCTTAAAGGGAATCCATTCTTTATTCTATAATATAATACGAAATAAATAATCGATCGATTGCTTAGATACACAAGCAAGATTTTTACATTGCTACTAAGGAGAGAATATTGAACAAAAACTTCTATAATTCTTCGAAAAAAACAGAGGTAAATCAAATCGTTGGTTCTTTATTTGAGGATTACAGATTGTTGAAATATTTATCCCTTAAACGCAAAATTTATGTGCTATATACGTATACTCTGTAATACTGATCTCTTGACTTTCTGTGTAATACAATGTAGCTATTGGTTGATATTAAACAATAATTGGAAATATGCAAATATCTCCAAAACAGCATCTGTATATTTAACACACTTGGAAATTTGTGTTGTGAGAAGCACTTTATATATATTTTATTCGATTTTCAATTTTACATGTGGTACTAAATGTAGAAAAATCAATTATTAAAGGAGTTTTTTTCAAATCCTCAAATATGTCATTTGAGTTCCTCAAGATTCCACAATTGGTATATAATACGAAACTAGTAAGTACTATCATAATATATTTGAAGTTTCCCATGCAGAAAGATTTATAGACAACCTATTTAACATAAACTAAGGAATCATGCTACATAGCTGTTTCCTCTTTTAATAAAAATAAATAAAATAAGGAGATGTGGTATGATTGCCATTGACACAACTTTCCAACAAACTGACGTGAATGTAAGCAACTGTAGGCCACCATGCGGCTTTAAAAAATGATCACAACTAATACCGTATAGTCGGATATATTAGTTTGGCCCCACTATGACAAAATGTGAACAATTTAAATGGAAAAAAAAACAACGGCCTGATTTATTTACAAAGCAATAAATGAAAAAACAAATAAGTCAGGAAGCAACCAACGACAACCACTGAATTGCAGACTCCTGACTTGGAACAGGAACACTTAGAACGTAGCGGGGTTTGTGAGCGCTCCACCCTCCCCTAACCTAGGACAGTTGTATAACAGCACAACATAAGAACATACTGTAAACATCAGTTAGAAATGGTTTGACTATAAATCAGAATATGAAGAAGCAAAAAAAAAAAAAAAAAAACTACAACTAGCATAAAGACAAAAGACGCAAACAACCGATCTAAGAGTACTCTCAGTTACTGAAAGCTAGTGCAAAGTCAATAATAACTATAAAAGCACACTTTTTAATTTCAAATTCGGCGCTTATGTATCATTCAACCCATTGTAAAACATAATGTTCTACCTTACTTCTACTGGTTCATGGTAATGCTTATTCATCGAGTGAAAATATGGTTATTTTTCCAAATCTTAGGGACATGTCATACCGACAATGCCATGACAAAAACACAAACAAGTCCATAAAACACTACACTAGAAAAGTGAGATTGAGCAACACAAACCGAATCAAAAACCGGAAGAGGGAGGGAGTGGAGTCAACTCCGCGGATACTCCGTCACTCATCACCGTTAAGTTGAATTAGTAGCAATCTTCCAACTTCAATCCGTCTTTGTACGTTGGATCAATGGATATGATGCACTCCGAAAATAAATAAAAATTGAACAGAATGGTTTTGAGAGAACGAACATATAATATCTTATTACTGTGACTTTGAGATGAAGAACAGCAATAAAAGCGCTGCTCATTTGCTTTTTGTATGTTTTCTGCTGTGCATGTACTGATTTTGTGTCATGGATAGATACCCCATATGTTTTTTTCTATTATATAATATTTTGTTCTTATTTTCTTTATGCAATAGGGCATTTATTATCATATTGTTATAGAAAAGTTAATTGCATTGTTTCATGCAAATGTTTTATTCATTCGTGTAATTTTTATGCTGTTTGCCAGTGATGAACGTATTCATACATCCCTGGTGTCGAATGTTTAGGTTTGAGCTTTCCTGATGAAGGTAGACCCAGAAAAGCGCTACGGACAGACGGACGAAATTCATTAAACTCAAGCATTTTAGACTGTGACTGGAATTTTGCAATTTGTGTATCTTTTCCTCAGCTTGATCTGTAGGTTTACATAGAAATATTAATGACAACATCGCCTGTAGATATAAATTGTATAGCTTTTGTTAGTCGGATGATGCATTTCGTGGTCTGCTTAAATCTAGTACTGTAACACAGACATAGCATGATGTATAGTAGCTTGGAGAAGGTATATTTGTTCGATTCATCTGATGAACAACAAATGGCAAAGGATGACACTGTTACTAGTCAACTGTTGTTTTTTACACACGTTATGAACTTTTAGTACACTACGATATTATTTCTCCATTTGATAGAATACCCAAGGAAGCGGCTATACAAGACTTTCACTATACATGTTTACAATTTTGGTGCATTCAATTCAACCCAACATTGTAATAACTTACATCGTTAACTTATTACATACAATTACATATGCTTTACTTTATATTTATTTTAATTCATTCACACTGATCACTTGTCATTTTGCATTGAAACTTGAATCTTTGATTTCTATACTTTTATAAATATTTTGTTAATCACTGTGTTATTTACATTTCATCATTGAAATAACATGAAACGAACGTACACGTTCCTCAATTTCTTACGCCTACCTCCCCCCCCCCCCCCCCCGGGGCCCTTTACAAAAATAAAAAAATAAATAAAAACCAACATTGAATAAAGATGGCAAAAAAAGTTTTAAAAAAATCTACAACAACAAAGAAAGAAGAAAAAAAAAACGGCATTCACAAGGTCGTGTTTTTCTCTGCACAAAATCAATTGGATGATGGATGTGTACTGATTGATATTTTAGTCTTAGATACATGATTTTCTTATTAGTTGTTATTGGCTTTGAACTAGCTGTCAGTAACTGCGAGTACTCTCAGATCTGTACTTAGTGTTTTTTGTTGTAGGGATGTATACAAATACCCTGCCACGTCCGGTCAGTGTTTTTGTTACTTGTTTTTCTGCTTTGTATCGATCTGATCGGTTAAGCCCTTTTCAACTGATTTTTATAGTTTGTTCATATGTTGTACTGTTACACCACTGCCCCAGGTTAGGGGGAGGGTTGTGCGCCCGCTAACATGTTTAACCCCGACACATTCTGTATGTGCCTGTTCCAAGCCAGGAGCCTGTAATTCAGTGGTTGTCGTGTGTTGCTGTATATCATATTTATATTTCGTTCATTGTTTTTACATAAATCAGGCCATTAGTTTTCTCGTTTGAATTGTTTTACATTTATCATTTTGGGGCCTTTTAAAGCTGACTAAGCAGTATGGGTTTTGCTCATTGTTGAAGATATACGGTGACCTACAGTTAATTTCTATATCATTTGGTCTCTGGTGGAGAGTTGTTTCATTGGCACTTATACCACATCTTCTTATTTTTTCATACTATCTAATTCCCCTCCTAAAAGACAACCTATTCTTTTAATTTACTAATTTCAAGATGGTCAATGCCATAAAAAAATCAATTATTACAGTTAATCAAATAGCACTAGCTCTTTAACAAAAACTGACGAATTTCAACCATTAACTGAATATCATTTTCTTGTACATCCACACATGTCAAATAATTCAAATATAAATTGGAACTACAAAATCCAAATTCCCACAAACTATTAAAACAGGCAATATCTATAAAGCATTGTAGCACTTGTTTAGGATTGTATGAGTATTCCTGATACTAGATGGAAGATGAGCATTGAAAACTATTCCACAGATTGTACTATTTCAGTATTAGCCTCGTTTTCTCTTGCCACCTCACTTATCTCCCTATTGGTTTCCATCTTTGGAATAGTAACCGTCAATGTTTGCTCTTGTTTGTTTACTTCTACCACTGCTTCTGACTGCTCTTGTTTTGTACTATCCTCGGTTTGTATCTGCACGTTAGATGCCTTAGCAACTTCCTTATTGATGGACGAAAGGTCAAGTTTAAGGTCATTTTCGGCCAAATCAGTTTTGTTAGCAACATCATTCTCCTTATTCGTAGATTTAGCCTTTAGCATCTTTGATTGTTGAAACTTGGCATGACTTTCTGTCTCTGCCTGAGCCATTAAAGCGAGCTGCATTTCTATTCTACACATACCACATGCACAGTCTAGTATGTTTGTCTCACGGAAAGAGGATTTGTGACCGGGAGTCTTCAAGTAAAAATTTCTGTCGTGAAGTTTCGATTGCTGGTTGACCTTGAAATACGAACCGGGGTCATTCTGGATATCTGGTATTGGTACAGAACGAACTTCATGTTCTGATTTCGGATAGGCAAAATATATTCGTTTAACATTTTTTGGAGACATATTAGCGTGTTTACGAGGGGAATGGTCCTTTCTACCAGATGATGTATACTTAGTCAAATCATCTAACGAAATATTGTCTTCATCAGGGTAACTGTAATAGTCGAGTATATTTGCCACTTTTCGGTTATATTTTTCTCTCTCTTCGAACACTTTCGTTTCTTCTCTAAAAGTTTTTCGCCTTGGTCCCATTGCCAATAATCGTGGTTTGGTGAGATATTCTCTCCGAATACTTGCAAGATACCCACCATCGTTATAGCGCGATAAATTAGACGTTTGTGCTACTGGACTTGATTTATATCTTCTGAAGTATATGATTTTCCCTTTGTCAATATACATAGTCCCCTCGTCAGTTTCTCGCACCAAGTATTTTCTTTGTTCTATTTTGTTAGAGTACTGGGGATATGTATCTTGATCTTCTTTTTCAGTTTGTACTTTGTGGTGCTCACAACGCTTAATCGAATGCTGAATTTCTGTTGCTGCCATAGATATGTCTTTATTGATTTTCGCATCAGGAGCAGACGTCTTACTCATTCTACCGTTAGGTGACGGAGAACGTGACCGGTCATCTGATACCATCATTGCTCGAGCCGAATTAACTCTTTGCTGAGTTTTAAAATGATCAATGTATCCAGATTTTCTGTATGGAAAATAAGACCCCGACGGACTAACTGGTCTTTCCATATGGTTTTCATTTTCTGCGATTTCAGGTATATTTTGAATTGATCGTTTATTGGCAGGCGTGGGCGAAGTAATTGGTGGTCTTGGAGACTTATTTTCACTTCGAGGATGTCGAGGCGATCCCCGTCTCTGTGTTTTCGGAGAACCAGGCGGAGAGTGTCGAATTAGGTCGTCTTCGTCAACGAATGTTCTAACACTTAGCTGGTATCTTGGTGGAAGCCTCTTCCATAAAGTCCACGATGCTGACGTAGCCATGTCTGTAATAAGACAAAAATGTATATGGAATATCAGGTTAATGACGACAGAATATGTTTCTGAAGAGGAGGGGGGACAAGAAAAGTTCAGAGTCTAACTAATTTGTGCCCTCCAAATATCCAGTGCCAAACGTTTTTTAGTAACGACTTTACTTTAAAAATCCGACTGAAAACTGGGATTGGAACCCACCGGAGGTCATTTGGAAAGGTGAAGATTTAAAGAAATGAAAGAAATGTCACTGTTCTGTAATTCCTAAAAAATGCTCATTGGCACATATACTATACAATACAATACAATACAATATTTTATTTTTCCAAATTAAAGGGCCCATTAAGAGCATAACATTAATAACAACATGACATAAACATTACAGAGTGATTAAAGAAACATAAAATAATAGTTCAAATGTATGAGGAAAGGGTCAGTGGTCAATGGGAGATAATTTTGCTATCTATTAGAGTATTTAACTTATTTTCTGATTTTCTAAGTTGCAGGCCTTTATCAAGGTATGCACATAAAATAGATAAAAAAAACTGCTATTTTCATTACTCATATACTAATTAAAAGGTGCTAATAATAAATTTAGAAACATTGCAAAAGAATAAACGATCTGATTTAGACGAAAAACATAATAAACGAGAAAGGGAATTCTGGCCGTCCTTAAACAGTTTTAAAATACTTACACAGGCGCATTTATAATGTTTTTCTGTTTTTACAATTTTAATCACGTAAAATTTTCAGTCTCAAAATCTAAGTGATTATAATAGTAAAAGCGTCAAATCATAGAAGTATTGTAATTCGTGTTTTTATGCCCCCGCCGCGACGAAAGGGGCAATATTGAAGTGTTACCCTTGACCGTCCTTCCGTTCGTCTCATTTTCGTTTCCGCATTTTCACTTATGTTTTCCTCATGCAACTTCTATGAAACTCATACACAATGTTAAGAACCAAAAATCACAGACAAAGTTCAAATTTGGGCAGTGAGACACTTACCGTTCTAGAGTTATGCCCCTTTATAACTTGGAAAATTGCTTTTTTTTTCGTTTCTGCATTCTAACTAAAGTTTGCTGATGCAAATTTTATGAAACTCATACATAATGCTAAGAACCACAACACACAGACAGAGTTCGAATTTGGTCAGTGAGTCATTTACCGTTAAAGAGTTATGTCCATTTTTAACTTGGAAAATTACAAAACTTGATCGGGCCCAAGACACATTCTTTTATTTTCATTAACTGTTCACATGTCCAAGGGGCCGCTTTGTGAATGAAGTCAGATGCTATTATTTCATCACACAAAGCAAAAGCTACATTAGACCATTAATAAATACTAAAAAGTTACGGAAAGGAAGAGGAGAACAACACTGTTGAAGTAATCACTATTGCATCCTTATAAATTCGTCACAGCATTCTCTGAATTAAATCGCCGCGATATAGCCCTTAAACCTGATGCGGCGTAAAGAAAACATCAATCAATCAATCTCTGAACTAAATGTCGTCAGATAAATTTTGTATAGTGGTATTTAAATCCGTTTATTATAATTACTGTAATGAATAAGTTTGGTAGTTTTGATCTCAGCTGAAAGTTTAATAATGAGTTCTTATTGACAAACACACTCCAAAAGCAACACAACTGTCAATAACACATATGACAGAAGATAAACATTTTGATCAAAAGAATAACAATCTTATTAAGGTTTAGTGTGCATATAAAGTTTGGTAAATGTTTGAAAATCTCGTTTAATCCTCATTTAAACGATCGCCTCTCAAATATTTAACGTATCAAGTTACCAATTACATTCTTCAGTATTCAAATGTGGAAAAATGTAAAATGAATGTCTTTAAAAGTGCCCCACGTCAAAAAATGTGATCGCAGCAAATATTCTTAATTATTGAAACATTAGAACATAAAAAAGAATAAACTTAAAAAAAAAATGATTTTTGAAGGAGGCCAGGGTGACCATAATTTATACCCCCGTCACCCTTGTGTGTTTTGCTGTTATGTTTAATTGCCCGTTGAAAGTTAAATTGTATAGAATTATGGCCACCCTGGCCTCCTTCAAAAATCATTTGCCAAAAGAAGACGTCTGTGTGGCTGTGCGGGATATATTGATAAGCAGCCCCGTCTGGTTAGAACGGTGAAGTTACATCCAATGCCTCGTGTAGAGAGATTGATACGCTCTGCATGTTAAAGAAACATGACAAGGATTGTTTGAGGGTCCGTAGGTGGCCTGCTCCAAAGCTAAATAACAGCCCTATCTAACATACCCACAGTAACAATAAAATTTTCTGCCGTTTGGCCTACTTTGCAGAATCTACATATTGTATCACTTGTTCATGTTATACGTCCTACATATGCATGAAATAATTGTCACTTTACGTCAAGCAAGCAAAAATCAATCAATCAATAAATCATAACAAAAATCTACGGAGTAAACTGCCATGTTAATGTTTACTTGCAGCTACTGACTACAAAATTTACACAGAAAAGAAAAATGTTTTTTTTTTTAAATGTAAGGCGAGTTAACTATAACAGCATTTTTTTTTAATTTCCAGTTTATTAGCAAACTGCTCTTTACATTTTATTTTTTTTCAATTGCATAAATCACATTGTTAATATATTATTTGAATTATTTTTTTTGCAGTATTCAAGCGGCTACCGCCGCATTAAATTATCTAAAAAAAAAATATGTATCAATTTTCTTTATTGAAAAGCATTATTTCAATTAAGTACATTATCACTAAAAAAAATAAGATATAAAATCTAAAGAATTAAACTTACAACTTTGAAAATTCTAATTCCTCTGCACGACTATATATAACTATTTCATGATATTAGTTCAAACGTCAGATGCCGACAGAAAAAAACACTTAAAAACTTTTAACAAACTTCATGCAAAGGAAGATAGTAGGTATTGTGTAAAGAATATAATACAAGCTGTCAAAATATCACTTTTACTCAAATGCGTAAGGTAGTTTTAAAGGTAGAGATAGGTAATTAAAAAGTATTTATCCATACAATAGCTGTTTGTACCAACACACCACTATTATTTACCTATTTGTCTAGAACGTTTTCACTTTCTTCATAATGTTACGATTCCGTGAGCCGAGTACACTAGTATATAACCCAAATTGGCATTTTTTGCTACTTTTCAAATTTTGAATGGTTAACTACTTTCCGTTCAATATAACAAGTATGTGTTTAAATTATTCCGTAAGGAACTTATTTTGCTTGACGATCTTCCGATCTTTAACTGACTCGATCATGGGATCAAATATAAATATCCATTTTCAATTTAGAATTTTTGTTAAGTATTTTCTTTCTTCTTTTTATTCGATTCATTGCTTGTGAGGTTATTCTTATGTGGGTTAATTTTATTTATCTGTATGCCTTAAATCTGCTATATGTATTAACGTTTGTTAAAAATTCAAATCAGCATCATTATTGTCATTCAAAATGCATCTGTATCTATTTCTATCAATAAAAAATCAGATTAAATAATAAGGCTGTATACTTACTGGTTTAGTGGAATTTACAGCATTGCAGAATCACTCATCAAAACGTCGTCATAAGAAAACTTTACACATTTTTGGATGGGTCAATAAATCACAAAAAATAAAAAGATCGACTTGCGTTTTATAGTTATGTTAAAACGACCTCAAGACAGAGATCGACAAAAGTTCTTTTAGATGTACAATTTCATCCCAGCAACCAGGCTTATCAAACGTTTTGGCAATCACTGTAATATTAATCTAAAAGCGATAATGTGTATTATGCGTTCTTTGTAAATATATCGCTCCCTTTATTTGTAGTGAATGGTCACTAGTCCAAGTGTTTGACGTTCATTATAGCCTGATTTTGCAGACATTTACAGATTTGTTTGTTTAAAATGTTAGAAATGTTTGGTTTTTACCAATTCATTCCGTATTTTTGAAACAAAAGTAAATATAAAGGTACAATTTTAGATGTATATTTATTTCAAAAAGCTGAAAGGGTATCGACTAAACTCATAGGAAAGTCGAGGGGACTATTATTTGAACGCTGTATGACGTATATAATTTGAGATAATTAAACTGATTTGATATTCTTTTATGCTAATTTCACTTCCTTTTTATTTCTAAACGTATTTGTTAAATATTTCTTTTTTCAATGCTAGACACCAGTGAGTTGAATGCATAAGGAGTGGATGCTGTTCCCCACAGTCTGTTACTATAGTTTATTTTTTTATATCTTGCTTTACATTAAGTTTCTCTATGTGTTCTATCTTTACCACTGACAACATACAACAATCAGGTATCGAAATATGCATTTATACATATAATTATTTGATAGAAAATTTCCGACTGACTAGACCCAATGAATTCACTTTTGTTTAAACACGCGATTTAAAGAAAGTTTATCACAACAACCAACAATAACTTATTATGTACCAATTACAATGTAATAATTGCTGTAAAATTTCATCAATGTTATTATATTTTTACTTTTTTTGTTTGGGTCACCCGGTCATCGTTAATCATTCTAGGTCATAATGGTTTACTATTGAAATATAAGGATACAAACTATATTGACATAATGTGTGGACTCATGATTTACAGGTTGAATGCATTAAATAAATGAAAATTCTAAACGAATAACTGTTTTAAAATACAAGCTCTACTGTACAATATAGAATTTAAGGTAACTTTATTACATAATTTTTATTACACAAATCATAAAGCTAGCATTATCCTTTAATTTCACTTTCCGCTATATAGATGATGTCCTCCCACTAAACAATTCAAAGTTTGGTGACTATGTTAAACACGTCTATCCCATCGAACTTGAGATAAAGGATACACCAGAAAGTCTGCCTCATACCTTGACTTACATCTAGAAATTGACAATAATGGTCGGTTGAGAACAAAACTTTCCAATGAAAGAGATGAGTTTAGCTTCCCAATTGTGAACTTTCCATTTCTGTGTAGCAACATTCCAGCAACGCATGTATATGGAGTATATATCTCCCTGTTGATATGATATTCCAGGGCTTGCATTTCCTATCATGATTTACTTGATAGAGGGTTACTGCTCACAAAGAAGCTATTAAACCAAGAGTTCCAAGTGGTGCAGTTGACATCATCCCTTCGAAAATTTCACAGACGACATCGTGAGTTGGTTGACCGTTATGGAATATCTGTTTCACCACAATCCCGTCCTCTTTTCCTCGAATGTGACCTACCGAATTAGAGTTTTCACCGGGTTTGTACTTACATTAGCAACACGACGGGTGTCACATGTGGAGCAGGATCTGCTTACCCTTCCGGAGCACCTGAGATCAATCCCGGTTTTGTTTTTGTTGCTCAGTCTTTAGTTTTCTATATTGCGTTTTATACTGTGTTTGTCCTTTGGTCTTTTTCGTTTTTAGCCACGGCATTGTCAGTTTATTTTCGACTTATTTTGAATATTCCTTTGGTATCGTTCGCCTCTCTTTTGTAATGAAAAATATTTCACATGTGAAATAAGCCCTGTTATTTCACTATATTACGTCATACATAAAAAGGTTTTGTCAATGACTTTGAATCATAACGAAGTGAGAATGAGTAGAAAAAGATGAGTTCCTTGCATTTTAAAATTCTTTGTTTCATTAAAAAGCAAATAAAATGAAAAGAATAGCTAATAGAAAAGATTAAAAAAAAACTAAGCAATATCCAACTAGTGACTTAACCACGGCGATAATAACTTATGGTCACAGTGCATTCGCAAATTATTGTGTTGTTCGAGCATTCGTTGAATATTTTTCGATATTTGAAATCTTTGTTTAATTAAAAAAGAAGATCAAGTTGAGAAACCACATGCCTATCGGATTATGGCTTATTTTCGTGACTTTCGTAATCAAAGTAAAAAATGCTAACACGGAGTTATCATAAGATTACATGCAGCAATAGACACAGACATATACGAAGAGATTCAATCGGACTTTCAAGGAACACACATATATATATTAATTCTTAAAGAGACCATTAAAGATAAAACGTTCTTTAATTTTTATTAAAATTTGTATAAAAGCCATAATTAAAACGATGTCTTGATACCATGAAGACAACAAAAACCATAAGTCTAAGCAATACGATGACCAACTAGAACCGATAAAATGACACCCAACATTACCCCCACCCCCTAAAAAAACCACTTCACCTCACATATCATTGTGTTTGGAGGACATGTTTTCAAGACCATCGACATTCCTATGGGAACAAATTGTACTACTATGCTTGTCGACGTGCTCCTTTATTCTTATTAGGCAGACTTAATACAAATGCCTGTCTTTAAAAATGAAAAGAAGCTGGCGTTAAACTTTAAATTCACGTTCCTTTTAAAAGTGATGTCCTTTCACAGGATTACTCAAAGTTTGATGACTATGTTGACTGCCTTTCACTCAAATAAACTAGACATAAAGTACACAACAAATACGTTAAGCCTGTTTGTTTACGACAAAAGAGATATTGTGAACTTTTTTTTACTCCCGGACTATTTCTATGTAGCAATGCATATGGAGTATACATAAATAAATAAATAAAATATTTATCAAAGTGTCACATATTGATTGTAATAAAAAGAATTCATAGACAATATACATACATAATAAAACAACCAATATCCAGCCAAACCTCTGACTTACGAGACACTATATACCAAATAACTATTTACAAATTGAGACAGCGTAAAAATTAAAATAAAATAAATATGTCTTTTACACAAAAGAATAAACCTAAGCATAAATCTCTTATAATAAGTTATTTAAAACATAATCATTTCACATTGAATGATAAAAAATCTCAAAGCATCCTATTTATAATAAAATATCAGTTTATAAATCACATAATCTAAAAAATAAGTAAAAATTAAGCTAAAAATATAAACTTTAAAAATTTAATATCCCTATTATTTGTTCAAATTAGGCACGAAAAAGAACGTTGATGATCATTATAAACATAATTTTCTTCGAATAAAAAATGTATGTAGACTTTTACAAAAATAATGCTGGATTTCTGTGAAATTCATAATATTTAGAAATTTGTCATTAATATTCAGAGTGTCAAAATTCGCAATGTGTTTAAAACATTCGTGAAACTAGTCATATCATAGATCACTGCACAAAGGTTCTGCAGTCACACATTTCACATAAACGTTCCTCTGTATGCGTCCTGTAGCATCTCCCTACTTCAATTACGAGAGGAAAGGAGCCTGAGCGGAAAAGGGCCATAGTTCGTCTTTCCATTCGAAAAATGTTTAAACTAACGTATTGTTCATTTTTCACAGAGTTTTTGTACATACGAAACGTCCGAAGCTTATTCTCATTTCATGTGTTAGATCTGTCATTATAAAGTTCTATATACTATTCTGTATTGTCAAGGTCGACACGTTTATCGCTAACCAATCACATGGCACATTTTTCAAGATCTCAATATTGACGATTTCAAGTCTAAACCTCCTGATTGCACCTGTGCTAGTTCCCCATTCATATATAATCCCGCTGGCCACGTTATTACTGATGACCTAAACATTGTCAATAACACTTCTCTGCCAAATGTGTTATCCAAAGGCCCGAAATATCGTGAGCCTAAATCCATCAACTGGAAACACAACTTCATAATGGATTCAGTCGAGGATTATGCCAGGCAATGGGTTAAACGCAAGAAAGAAGACATAGGTACTCTTTCCGAATGGATTAAGGCTGTGAGGTCGTTGATACAAATCAGCATTAAAAAAAAAAACTGAATGGGTCTATGAATACCTATGCTACCTCAATCTTTAAAGACCCAAATGTTGCAAAACACCTGTCCTACCTTAATGACAAATATGTTGTTATCCCCTCAGATAAAGCCCAAAACAGCATCGTTTTTGTGTGTAAATTCCATTACATAAACTGCTTGATAAATGAATTAGGTATTGACAATTCGCTTGGAAACTCAACATATACCCCAACGACACTTACCTGGATAATCATAGGTCTGTTCTATGTTCCTTTGGAATTTCAACCAAAGATGAAGAACTGGATCTTCCTTCACTGTATTGGATACCTAAACTACATAAGTGTTCTTACAAACAACGTTATATTGCTGGGTTTTCCAAGTGCTCCACGAAACTTCTTTCTAAATTATTGACATCAATTTAATCAGCAATAAAAGCCGGGCTTTAAAGTTATTGTGGAATTACATTTTCTAGAGGTGGCGTGAATCAGATGTGGAGTACATACAATCTAAGACTCTTTCATCTTGCAATATTATTAAAACATTTAACTTTTCTACACTTTACACAAGTATTCCCCTTTCCAAACTAAAAGACAAATTGAAAGAGTTGGTCCTGCTTTGTTATAAAAAAGAATGGCCTACGTAGATACAAGATTCTTGTCTTAGGGAGGGATAAATCTGACTGTGTAAAAAATCACTCTGATTCTACCAAAAAATTCTCTGAAACTGACATTATCAAGATGCTTGATTTCTTGATTGACAACATATTTGTTACGTGTGGATGACATGTTTTTCATCAAACAATCGGCATTCCAATGGGAACCAACTGTGCTCCTCTTCTTGCCGCCTTGTTCCTTTATTCATACACAGGCAATTTTTTCCAACGTGTGTTTAACGTTTGTGCTCATTACGTGAAAACTATGTTATTTCCACGTGTGTATCACACCGTTTATATCACCTGTATTTGACACACACAAGATTCTCACGTGATAATCACGTTTTAATCTGCTCACGTGATATTCACGTTTAAACGTAACGTTATTTTCACATGTAAATTTTTTAACGTGATATTAACGTGTAAATATTGTGTTAATTTCACACGTAAATTTTTAAACGTGATTTTAACGTGTAAATATTGTGTTAATTTCACATTTAAATTTTTTCACATTATTTTAAAGTGTAAAAGTTGTGTTATTTCACATCTATATTTTCACATGATGGTGATGTGAATTTCATATTAATATCACATGAATAACATATGTACATGTAAGTGCAAGTTATTTTTGCAATGGCTATGTTGGATTTTCATGTGTTCAGTGAATATTTAAGGTAATGCATCTGTCATATAAATTTTACCTGAGTACAACATAAAAATTCACCAATTGCAAAACATGAAATTGTAAGTGTATTGTATGTTGTTTACTGTAAACTATAATTCCTTCACCAGGGTTATTCTGAATTAACAAACTAATTAGAAATATACATTGTGCTTTGTTATGCTCTAAATGAGTCTTCCTTTATTTCCTGTTCTATCAAATTATAAAATCTTCCTTTACTTCAAGTTGACAATGGTTTTCATTAGAATCACAAGAGGTATATTCCGTAACAATTCTTTTTAAAAGAAATAAAACTCATTTCATGTTCTGATATCGTCTTTTCACAGTCTTGTTGTTATAATGATTTACTGCTGCAGACACTTATTTCCTCTTTTTATTCATAGAAGATGTATCACTCTGTGTCAATTTTCCCTGCAAACATAAGAAAAGTAGTAAGAACAAAGAAATTATAATAATAGCTTATTAATTTTGTCGTTGAATTCTACTGGTACTGAACATGCTCTAAATAGAAGATGCAAAACTACATCATATGAATGTTTTAGTTTATGATTATTTTATTCGAACAATTGACTTAAATAGGATCAGACACAAGTTTTACTTCTGTATACAATAGGATAATAATATTATATTAAATTGAGTATGCATAAATTTTGCACCTGTCCCAAGTCAGGAGCCTCTGGCCTTTGTTAGTCTTGTATCATTTTTAATTTTAGTTTCTTGTGTATAAATTGGAGTTTAGTATGACGTCCATTATCACTGAACTAGTATACATATTTGTTTAGGGGCCAGCTGAAGGACGCCTCCGGGTGCAGGAGTTTCCCGCTGCATTGAAGACCCATTGGTGGCTGTTGTCTGCTCTATGGTCGGGTTGTTGTCTCTTTGACACATTCCCCATTTCCATTCTCGATTTTATACATACAAAATTTTTTAATTCTAACATGAGTATAAGTTAACCAATTTGAAAATAAAATGCAAGGCTCAGCTTGATATGACTGACCACAGAGGTATATAGACCAATTTGAAAATGGGGCCCAAAATCAGAAATCTAACTAAACGATTAGATTCAGCATATCAAAGAACCCCAAAAATTCAATTTTTGTTGAAATCAAACAAAGTTTACTTTTGGACCCTTTGCTTCTTAATGGGGACCAATTTAAAAACAGGGCTCAAAATTAAAATTTTAACTTAACAGTTAGATATCTCATATAATAGAACCAATAAATTATTAAATTTTATATGTCTTCAAACGACAAAGTTTAAATTTGTACCCTAGGGACCTCAATGTGGACCTCTTTTAAAAAGGAGGCCAAATCTATATACAAGTAACAAGGTTTGAAAAATAAAATAAAGACTTTGAATTAAACACAATTGAAATTGGTCAAGAAAAAAGCAGTTTATACATGTACAAAAAATAAACAAAGTGTTATTTTTGGCCCCTAATGCCTAAACTGTTAACATGGTTAAGGCCATAACCCCCAAAATCAATCCAACCTTCCTATTGAGGTATGGAACCTTGTGGTGTCATAAAGATCCATTAACTTAAATTTGCGACTGTATAAATATATCATGTATATTATAAAAACAAGAGTGCACACCCTGAAATGTCTCGCCTTCTTTACTAACCATTGATATTATGTTGATAGTCCTAAATATAAAGCTGAACTACAACTATCACATAAACTTAACATGATCCAAGAAAATGAGGTCAAGGTCATATAAACCAAACGAGAAATACTTGTAGTATGTATATTTTTACACCTTACAATCATTCAATACACTAAATATAGTTAACCTATTGCTAACAGTTTCTAAAAAACAGACTTAACCAAGAAAACTAAACATTGACCAATGAACCATGAAAATGAGGTCATGGTCAGATGAACCATGCCAGGCAGATATGTACAGCTTACAATCCTTCCATACAACAAATATAGTTGACCTATTGCTTATAGTTAAAGAACAGACCGAAACACAAAAACTTAACACTGAACAATAAACTGTGAAAATGAGGTCAAGGTCAAATAAAACCTGCGAGACTGATATGTACATAATAAAATATTTCCACACACCAAATATAGTTGACCTATTGCATATAGTATTAGAAAAAAGACCAAAACTCAAAAATTTAACTTTGACCACTGAACCATGAAAATGAGGTCAAGGTCAGATGACACCTGCAAGTTGGACATGTACACCTTACAATCATTCCATACACCAAATATACTAGACCTATTGCTTATAGTATCTGAGATATGGACTTGACCACCAAAACTTAACCTTGTTCACTGATCCATGAAATGGGGTCGAGGTCAAGTGAAAACTGTCTGAGGGACATGAGGACCTTGCAAGGTACGCACATACCAAATATAGTTATCCAATACTCATAATAAGAGAGAAATTAACATTACAAAAAATCTTAACATTTTTTTCAAGTAGTCACTGAACCATGAAAATGAGGTCAAGGACAATGGACATGTGACAGACGGAAACTTTGTAACATAAGGCATCTATATACAATTTATGAAGCATCCAGGTCTTCCACCTTCTAAAATATAAAGCTTTTAAGAAGTTAGTTAACGCTGCTGCCGCCACAGCCGGATCACTATCCCTATGTCGAGCTTTCAGCGACTAAAGTCGCAGGCTCGACAATAAAAACTACATTTATGGGATTTGAAGGAAGAAGTGATGAAAAAGCAAATGAGGATGAAAATTGAAGTTTTGAAGGTTGAATCCAAGATATATTACCATACCCAATGAAATAAGAAACTGCTTAGACATTTATATATTTAAATGTATATGTACAATGACAAGACTCAATACAAAGTTTACAGTAACACTGAAGAATGACAAAACTCAATGCATGCCTGATACAAAGTTTACAGTAATACTGAAGAAAATTTTGTGACGGTCAGATTGACGGGACAAAAACAATAATACAAGTTCTCTTGGTCTGCTTAGATAATGAGGCTGCATGGACAAGCTAATATATATAGCCTTTATTTATATCTTTAACCTTTTAGTCATTTCAGGATATCTGCCCAAGACCATTCTTTGGTAATCTCGGATACATGTACCCAGTACATAATATTCACGAGCAGAGACAATCAAATTTGAATTGTTTTACATTTGTCATTTAGTAGCCTTTTATAGCTGTCTATGCATTATAGGTTTTACTCATTGTTGAAGGCCATACAGTGACCTATAGTTGTTAATGTCTGTATCATTTGGTCTCTTGGAGAGAGTGTCTCATTGGCAATCTTACCACATCCTATTTATTTTACATTTGTATTGACACTTACAATGTATATTGAAGTCTTTTGTTTTAACCAAAAGATGCCTCTACTGGTTTTGTTGTTTGTTCGGGTGCTAATTCATTGAAATATAGATGACATTTCTTTTCATTTATTTATCTCAATCGTTTGACCGTTACAGCCAAGTTAATCAAGTATAAAATAAGTATATAATACCTGCTGCTTTTACTTCTTCTCCTTATTGAAAAAGTACATTTCCTTTGTTAATTTCTTTTTTTTCCCCAATGAGCTCCTCAACAATTTTCTCTGTTCATTAACTAAGAACTTGGGAACTTGCTGTATCCCTAAAAACATATCAAATTATTCAATTGATGGAAAAAAATCTTTCATTTTTATAATGGTATTATTTATTACACAATAGAAATATTACTCTTAAATATTTGTTTACATGTAGCTCAAGTTTATATGTAGTAATGTCATAAATGTGTAAGCTAAACATAAAATAAAAGACAGCTGTTCAAAGCTGACTGACATGATATCATCAATTAGATTTAACCCCCTGAAGTACAAATTAAGGAGAAATTACAACTGAAAATATCGTTTAACAAGAGAAGAGAATTATCCTGTCATCAAGACAAAGATTGAAGAATCCAACTAAATCCCACATCCCCACTTTTTCACCCCCAATATGAAAAATCCCCTTTTTTTAACCTCGATATCCCACAACCCAAAAGTGTGTCATTCCCCTAATGTTCACCTGTACTAATATCAGAGACAGATTTAATGCGCAGCCCCCCCCCCCCCCCTTTTTGTGGGCTTAACCTTAGGCAGTCAATGCCCCCTTTTGTTGGCTTAACCTTAGGCAGTCATGCAATGCCCCCCTTAATTGTGGGATTTACCTTAGACAATCAATGCCATCCCCCACCCCCTTTTATTAAAATTTATGTCATTTATGGATCCACCACTGAATATGGAAAAAGAGTTCATAAATCGGTTTGACTTGTGTCTTATCGAATTTGTGTTAAGGTTATTTAAATAAAATATATGTTTTAACTAAACTTTAGTGTAGCCGTAGGGTAAAAAAAAATCAGAAAAAAAACTGTATCGAACTTACCTGCACTGCATATTTTTAAAGTCACAAGTACACAGTACAGTAGACCCGAGACAGAACTTTTTTTTTACTTCTACAGTTCCGTCATTGTACAGTACACAGACTCTCAGTCTGTCAGTTTCATATGGACTGTTATCACATTGACATGGAGATTGCTTGCCAAAAATAACCGCGGGAAATACCGCACACCTTGAAAAATTTCGGAATCGGTGTGTAACCCAGAAGCGGAATCAATTTATTAACATTGTTTTGTTATCCAGCTGGTAGCTTGATATAATTTAAATATTTAATTAAATTGATTATTTGAATATTTAAACATGAAATACAATCGGTAAATTCAGTTTAAATGAGAATTGATGTGCTTCGTCTCTCAGAGAATTATCCCGTACGGTTCACAGAAACGAGCGTCTCAGACGACACATTTGGACGACACCAATTTTGACACCACAGTAGTGGCAATGGAAAGTAATGCAGATACTCTTGAAGATATAACAGGTATATTTTATTTAACAACCCCGTTATGAAGGTATGTGTACAATAGTTAATTAAAACGTACCATTCCCTGAACAAATACAGTCTTCATGAAACACTTGACTGCCTGAAAATTGGAAAAACCCGTCATAAACTTTTAAATTCCTTTAAATTTAAATCATTTAGGGTCTATGGTTTGTGACTTGTGAGTCCTTTTTCATTAAAATTTTACTGTCCTGACAACATTTATACATGCCTGGGCCGTATGATTTTTATGAGTTAATCATGAAGACCAAATGATCACACTAATAGTAATACCCAACTTTTGAAAGAAATTACCACAGGCACTAGCATTTTGTATATAATTTAATCTCTGTAAAAAATAAATATTTTTTTTTAAGTTTTAAACTGAATTTTACTGTGCGTATTGCTGTGTGTTTCTTTATTCTACATTGGCTAGAGGTATAGGGGGAGGGGTGAGATCTCACAAAACATGTTTAACCCCATCGCATTTTTTTGCCTCTCCGAAGTCAGGAGCCTCTTACCTTTGTTAGTCTTGTTTGTTTTTAAATTTTAGTTCATTTATATGTTTTGGAGTTAAGTGTGACGTCCATTTTCACTGAATTACTCAATTAGTACACATTATTATGGAGGGGCCAGCTGAGGCCCACCTCGGGTGCGGGATTTTCTGGCTTCGTTAAAGACCCATTGATGGCCTTCGGCTGTTATCTGCTCTTTGTTGGGTTGTTGTCTCTTTGACATATTCCCTATTTCCATTCTCAATTTTACTCAGACTGACTCAGAGACATCATATATAATGTCTCTGATTTACTTCACCAGTATGAAAGAGAACTAAAGTTCATATTTATAGATAAATTACTTTATATTTATATATCTATTCAAAATAAAATTATGAAAAGAAAAGTAGAGATTATTGGGATTTTTTTAATGTCAGAATATCATGGATAAAGCCAGAGGATTCTGAATATCTGGCAAAAACTCAAAAACATGAGGAACGAACATCCTTAGACATAAATATATGTGGGTTTTGATTTTTACAAGACTTCAATAAATAAATAGGGGCTTTTTAACATTCAGCTGCAGGTACTGAGGACCTACATGTATTGATCACTTACACTTATCTGTCTGGAGTGGTATATAAACTACACATGTCTCATAGACATACACCACATAACTCATTTTATTTCACCAGTTAAATATATGTCAAGATTGTTCATGATCATAGAATGACACTTGAGTTAATTATCAGGCAATTACCTTTCATTGTTCCACTTATTAATATTTACCACACAATTTTGGTAGTTCACTGTAATTTTCCCAATTTAAAGTTTGACAGACTATGACAATAACTGTATGTGTAAAAAAATACTTAAAATTTATGCATTTCTTTTTTCTATATGACAGATAATAAGCAGGGCATGAACGAAGTATGGAGGATCTGTTTGAAAATTCCAGACATGAGAAAGAAAATGACAGGGAGAGATGTCCAGTTCAACGTTACCAGGATAATTCAGCAAAGTTCCAACAGATATGTATGCACTATTTCCATTCTATGAAATGTAATGCATTTAATAAAACAGTGTGCTTTAAAAAGAACAACATGCCTTTTGGCTTGCAACATATGTGCAGAGGAAGAATAGATTTAATTTGTTGTACATTAATGCTACATATGATATTTAAGTAACTTTGCAGAACAAAATGTTCTGAATGTTAGCATTAAATATTTGCCACTGGACAACTGAAGGACGTTATGTAATGCATACAAAAATTGATAAGTCAAATGTAAAAGGTGATAAGAATCGAATAATCATTTAAATGTGTAACTAAAAAAACCAACTATATATACGGTACATATACAAATGTACCTAAGAAGTGACTAAACAACATGAACAATAGATATATCTTGGAGCTATTCAGGAATTATCTAACAGGGTCTTTTTTTACACCAACCACCCGTAATATAAAAATTAATTTTACTTAATGAAGTATCTTTCTAAAGAAATTCTAAGGAAATTACAACCACCCCAATATAATATGACTACTTGGCATGACATCAGATGCAACTCATTCATTTGTCATTGTTACCTTTAAAAAAATAAAAACTAGAGGCTCTCAAGAGCCTGTGTCGCTCACCTGACTCTACTTTGGTTTTAGAAATCATGTAAAGATAGATAAAAATCATAACAGATACCCAAATAATGATTGAGGCCAAATTTTGATTAATATTGGTCCCGTTATTTAATAAAATATCCTGGTGGCCATCTTGAACAGTAAATCGGCAACAAAGTAGCAACACTTGGTCAGCACTTCATAAGGAACATTCATGCCATGTTTGGTTTCATTCCATTCAGTGGTACTCTAAAAGAAGACATCTGTATGTATTTCCCATAGGGTCCTATGTTAAACTAAGCCCCCCCCCCCTAGCGGCCATCTTGGATGATGGATCTACTGCAAAGTAACAACACTTGGTCAGCAACTCATAAGGAACATTCATGCCATGTTTGGTTCAATTCCATTCAGTGGTTCTCTAAAAGAAGACAATTGTATGTATTTCCCATAGGGTCCTATGTTAAACTAAGTCCCCCGCTGTCGGCCATCTTGGATGATGGATCGGCTGCAAAGTAACAACACTTGGTCAACATCTCATAAGGAACATTCATGCCATGTTTGGTTCCATTCCATTTATTGGTTCTCTAAAAGAAGACATTTTTATGTATTTCCCAAAGGGTCCTATGTAAAACTAAGTCCCCCGCTGGGGGACATCTTGGATGATGGATCGGCTACAAAGTAACAACACTTGGTCAGCATCTCATAAGGAAGATTCATGCCATGTTTGGTTTCATTCCATTCAGTGGTTCACTAAAAGAAGACATTTGTATGTATTTCCCATAGGGTCCTATGTTAAACTAAGTCCCCGGCTGGCGACCATCTTGGATGATGGATCGGCTACAAAGTAACAACACTTGGTCAGAACCTCATAAGGAACATTCATGCTATGTTTGGTTTCATTCCATTCAGTGGTTCTCTAAAAGAAGACATTTGTATGTATTTCCCATAGGGTCCTATGTTAAACTAAGTCCCCCGCTGGCGGCCATCTTGGATGATGGACAGACTGCAAAGTAACAACACTTGGTCAGCATCTCATACGGAACATTCATGCCATGTTTGGTTCCATTCCATTCAGTGGTTCTCTAAAAGAAGACATTTTTATGTATTTCCCATAGGGTCCTAGTTAAACTAAGTCCCCCGCTGGCGGCCATCTTGGATGATGGATCGGCTACAAAGTAACAACACTTGGTCAGCACCTCATAAGGAACATTCATGCCATGTTTGGTTTCATTCCATTCAGTGGTTCTCTAAAAGAAGACCTTTGTATGTATTTCCCATAGGGTCCTATGTTAAACTAAGTTCCCCGATGGCGGCCATCTTGGATGATGGATCGGCTACAAAGTAACAACACATGGTCAGCACCTCATAAGGAACATTCATGCCATGTTTGGTTTTATTCCATTCAGTGGTTCTCTAAAAGAAGTCATTTGTATGCATTTCCCATAGGGTCCTATGTTAAACTAAGTCCCCCGCTGGCGGCCATCTTGGATGATGGATCGGCTACAAAGTAACAACACTTGGTGAGCACCTCATAAGGAACATTCATGCCATGTTTGGTTTTATTCCATTCAGTGGTTCTCTAAAAGAAGTCATTTGTATGCATTTCCCATAGGGTCCTATGTTAAACTAAGTCCCCCTCTGGCGGCCATCTTGGATGATGGATCGGCTACAAAGTAACAACACTTGGTCAGCACCTCATAAGGAACATTCATGCCATGTTTGGTTTCATTCCATTCAGTGGTTCTCTAGAAGAAGTTCAAAATGTAAAAAGTTAACGCCGACGACGGACGACGACGGACGACGCCGGACGACGCCGGACGCCAAGTGATGAGAAAAGCTCACTTGGCCCTTCGGGCCAGGTGAGCTAATAAAAAATGACTTATAAAATCATGTCTGATTCTACAACATTTCATTTTATACTTTAAACAAATTTGATATGAATTTGGAGGGCTTGTAATCGTGCAGTCCTATCGCAGCTGTTTATTAAATTTTATTTTCTCATAATTGAGATATTGAATGATTGATGTTTAGCGCCACTTTTAACACTATGGTGCTATTTTGTGGCATCCAGGTTTTATTGATGGAGGAAGCTGGAGAGAACCATGACCTTTGGTAGGAAAACTGACAATCCTAGTCCATTAAGATTGGAGTTAAGTTCACTTGCCACGTACAGGATTTGAACTCACAACCTTAGTGTTGACTGGCTGCTGGCTGGTGATACAGAAGTTCGACTACTTAGAATACTCGTCCAAGTTGGCCCCATATAATCGAGATATAATAAATATATATATACAAAATTAATTAAATATCACACAACAAAAGGAATGTAAAATAAAGAAAGAAAAAAAAGAAAGATTTATACATACACACAAAGAAATATTTAAGTCACTCAGCATAAAATCCCTATGCAATGATGTTAATCTTTAATGATAACATGTTACATGTATATACTGTTCATATTATTAACATTACTAAAGATGATTATGTGCCATTTGTTTGTCAGTCAGTAGAAGGAGGCATAATATGTGGACTAAAGTTCATGTTCATGTACATTTATTTGAATATTTATTTTTCCAGAAAAAATCTGAATTTGAGGCAAATATATACTGTCATGTATATATATACACATGATATAAGATGGATAAAGTACATGATACTTTAGCAGTGCTTCAGAGAATCACATTTGGCTACAGAAGTTTGTAGTATTTTGGTTGTAATCAAGTTATTAAGCTGAAGGTAATTTAATAGTAAAACAAGAAATGTTTCCTATTCAAGTATACTAAAATAAAGTTTGATGTTTAGGTCAGAATATGGTAAAGTTCTTTTTTTTTTGTCTCCCTTTCAATTTACTTGCGTATTTTCTGGCTTTTTTTTTTGTAAAGTACTGGTAGAAGTCAAAATTTGTTTGGTAAAGCACCATTTAAGTTCAGAACATGTTGTATATAGTAAATTAATAATTTAGATAAAATAAAAATAAAAAATACAATTATTTTATCTATCTACCCTAGCTTTCTGCCAGGAGACAGCAAATATGTGTATACATTTTTTGGCTTTATTGTTCAAAAATGATGTTACAAAAACATAACCAAATATTGATTAAATCCTTCATACTGCAGGTTATTTCTATACTTGCATGCCTGAAATTAAGATTATAATCTCATCAAACATTACTTTTCAAGTAGATAATAATATATTGTCAATTATATTATAATAATTGAATATTAGAGTTTCAGTAATTCATATATTGTCTTGTTGACAGCTCATTCAAATTAAAATATATAAAGTTATGAGGGTCCGGTAATTGTAGATTTGACCATGTTGACAGCAACAATAGCTTAAAAGATTTTGACATAAAAATTGAACAGTAATCTGAAACTGATGCTCAGAACCTTGAGGAATATCTAGAATTTCATTTTGTTTATAAAAACTGTATACTATACTTTTTGATAGCCCTTAGTAAAACATTTTCTTGGCTTATTTTCATTTTATGAACTATTTGAGTATTTCTTAATTCATTGACCCAGATTTAAATAGAAGGCTCAAAGGATTGAGATCTAAAAAAAATCTTTTAAGACTTCCAGATGTATGTATGCCTTTCTTCTCGTTATTGCTTTGTTTGATCCTGTTCCTAAGCACATATTGACATAATGATGTTATTTTTTTTTTAATTTACAGCTTCATAGTAAAACAGATCTAGGCTACACCTTCACTATTCAAGTCAGACTTTAAAAGGAAGCCTTTTTTGTTGATAGCTGAACATGTAAGTAAATACATTAATATCTTATTTGTATATTGTACAAATTAGACAAAGGAAGATTAATTAAGAAATAATTCACCTTTTTCAGAATCTAAAGGATTATGGGTAATCTAATTGTTCGTACACCAAAATGAAAATAACATTACCTCATTGGTTGAATTTCTATTGTTTAGAACTTTTTAAACCAATCACAACGTTTTGGTGTACGCTTTCGAAAATATTACCCAGAACAGAATGCATTTATTTAGATTCTGAAAGGGCGAATTAAACTGGTGATAATAGAAATATTAAAATGAGGAGATGAGGTATGATATTGCCAATGAGACAACTATCCACCAAAGTTCAAAGAAAGTGGATGTAAGCAATAATGGGCAACCATAGAGCCTTTAACAATGAGAAAAATCCATAATGTATAGTCCGCTATATTTAAAGTTCAGTCTTTGGTTAAAGTTTTTTTTTATTTATTAATATATGAAACCTTCATCATGGATTATCATGTTGATGCAATTAAATGACATTTGAATAGTAGATTTTAATAATCGAGAGGGGTAGAAGATACCAATGGGATATATTCAAACTCAAAGGTCGATTTACAAACTGACAAACGCCATAAAACAAAATAAATAAAATGCTTCGCTGGGGCGCAGCTTGATACGACCGCAGTGGTCGAACCCTGACCAGTTGGGGCAAGTATGGACACAAAATTCAAGCTTGATACAGCTATGACTTTGGATTGTCATTAAATATTTGACACAGCATAGGTTTCTGACACAGGATGAATGTGGTGTAAGAACTGGAAAAAATTTAATTTACCTATTATGGTGGAATATCCATAAACTAAATTGTTTGTTAATTTCAATATATCAAAGAATATGTAGAATTCAATGTTTGATGTAATGTAATAAAGTTGAAATTTGGACCGTTTTTGTTCAATGTGGACCAATTTGGTAACATGTATAAATAATCAAAAATCTAAATACATGGGAGCCCATTTAAATACATCATAAAGGTATTAAAATAGAAAGTGACATCATAGTCATGGCTAAAAATAAACAAAAATCCTTAATCAGCAACATTTAAAGTAATATCTAAAAATAAAATTCCTTTGTAACCATAAAAGCCCATTTAAATACATCATAAAGATATTAAAATAGAAAATGACATCATAGTCATGGCTAAACATAGCAAAAAACCCTTAATCAGCATCATTTAACAGTAATATCTAAAAATGGAAATTACATCATAAAGGTATTAAAATAGAAAATGACATCATAGTCATGGCTAAAAATAAACAAAATCCTTAATCAGCATCAGCAACATTTTATAGTAATATCTAAAAATAAAATTCCTTTGTAACCATAAAAGCCCATTTAAATACATCATAACAGATATTAAAATAGAAAATGACATCATAGTCATGGCTAAACATAGCAAAAACCTTAATCAGCATCATTTAACAGTAATATCTAAAAATAAAAATTTCTTTGCAACCATAAAAGTAAAATAGAAAATGACATCATAATCATAGCTAAAAATAAACAAAAATTTTTTTTATTGGCAAATTTTAAATGGAGTTTATTATACTAAAACAATAAATTTGCAACCATAAACATGATAAAACCCCATTTAAACACATCATAAAAGTATTAAATAATTCAACTACATCATAAGGCTATAAAAATAGAAAATGACTTCATAGTCAAGGCTAAAGGTAAACAAAAAACCTTCATCAGCAAAATTTTATATTGGCAAATTTCCAATGAAGTTTATTACACTAAAATTGTTGGCAAATTTCCAATGCATTTATTAACAATAAAGTTATTGGCAAATTTCCAATTTACATAATTTAAAAGCAGTGTAGATGAGATATTTAAATGAGTTTGAATTACCAACCTTACACTGCTTTTAAATAATGTTTTTTACTCAATTATTTGTCTATTAAAATGGAAACCCTTGTTTTTTAACCTTTTTTCCCCTTATTCCTTAAACATTAGAGCCATAAACACCCCCCCCCCCCCCCAAGGCAATTATTACTTTCCAATGTAACCTAAATTTCCAATATACAAAATTTTAAATTTCAGTTCCTCATGATATATAACCGTATCATTATTATTTTCTTTCATATATAAATCTGAAACAACCATCTTTAAATGGAAAATTTTAAAGAAAAAAAAAGGAAAAAAAAAAAATCCTACCCCCACACATTTTTTCAACCCCCTTTTGATTCATCATCCCCCACCTCAATCACAACCTTCAATTTGTGGTATGGTACATTGCAATACAATTTCACAGAGATCCATACACTTGAACACAAGTTTTTGTTGCAAACTAAAAAAATCCTTATTTTCGACCAATATTTGGCCCCTTATTCATAAATGTTTGAGCAATTAACCCCAAAACTCAATTCCTACTTTCTCTTCGTGATAAAAAATAACTAACTTAAAATGTAAATTTTAAACAAAAAAAAAAGGAAAAAAAAAATTACCCCTTTTTTGACCCCCGCCCCCCTTATGATTCATCACCCCCACCCCCCTTTCCCCCCAAACCAAGCTCAATAACAGCCTTGCCTTTGTGGTATGGTACCTTGTAATACAATTTTAGAGAGATCCATACACTTGAACACAAGTTATTGTCTAGAAACTAAAAAATGCTTATTTTAAACCCCTTTTTAGGCCCCTTATTACTAAACGTTTTGGGCAATTACCACAACACTCAATTCCAGCTTTCCCTTTGTGAAATGGAACCTTGTAGTAAAATTTCAGAAAGATCCATACACTTACACACAAGTTATTGTCATGAAACTAGAAAAATGCTTGTTTTTTGCCCCCTTTTGGCCCCTTATTCCTAAAATTTTGAGGCAATTAACCCCAAAATCAATCCCAGCATTGACCCTTTGTGATATGGAATCTTGTGGTACAATGTCAAAGAGATCCATATGCTAACACATAAGTTATGTCTGGAAGTTACAAAAATGCTTATTTTCGGCCCCTTTTTGGCCCCTAATTCCTTAACTGTTGGTACCATAACCCCTAAAATCAATCCCCACCTTCCTATTGTGGTATTGAACCTTATGGTAAAATTTCATAGAGATCCATTCACTTAAACTAAAGTTAGAGTGCGAAAACCATTGTGTATTCGGACGACAACGCCGGACAACGACGACGCCAACGTCATACCAATATACGACCTCAAAATTTTTTTGCGGTCGTATAAAAATGACTAAAAGACAAGCAACTGCATACACAATGTAGAAAACTAAAGACTGAGCACCACAACGGCACTAAATATCTTGGTGATCTCAGATAATGCAGAAGGGTTAGCTAATCCTGCTCCACATGTGAAACCTATCGTGTTATTCCAAAAAAATATCTTTGCCAATGCAGAAGGGTTAGCTAATCCTGCTCCACATGTGAAACCTATCGTGTTATTCCAAAAAAATATCTTTGCCAAGTTATACTAAGTCATTAGGCATCAGGCAACTAGCAGATTGGTTATTGACTCTTAATCTAACACTTAGATATCACCATATTCAATAAGCATCAGTAATGTAAATTTTCAACCATTAATCAATAAATCTTGACCTAATGTGAAGTTTTGAAATTTGCAAATTTTTAATGAAAAGGATAGACAAGACAGTACCAGTAAAAACAACACAGACATTGAAAAATTAAGAAACATAAAGAACAAAATTTTGTCTTCTCTTTTTCATTATTTTTGTCTTGCCTTGAAAAAGCTAGATCTAGGGGTGCTGTTTCAACAATGTATAAGTTTGTGATTAGGTCATTTTAAGGGAAATTGAGATATAATGAATATATATATATATATAAACATGTCTAAATTGAAAACGACGTTCAAACTTATGATTGCGTTGGATAAAAACCGCAATTTTTATACGTGTGCATGCAAAACAAATTTCTTGGTAGAGGGGTCTAAATACAGCACAAACAACATTTTCCAAAAGACCAAAAAAGTGAAAAAGTATATTTTAACAAAACGCATTTGACTAACAGGTCGAACAACTGATGTTCTTAAACCCTGCTGACTGCCATTGGCGATTGCCAAATAAACGGATCACAAGATGTAACAAAATGGATCTTTAAAAATTAATATCTAATACCGAACAGAAAACAAATATGCGGAAAAGATGGTATACCGCAAACAAAAGGTGCAAAAATTAGTACACCATATCCGGATTTCGACAATTAATGTCTCTTCAGTGATGTTAGGGATCGAAACAGTATTTGGAAGGCCATAAAATTTACCTCAATTTAGGATAGACTCTTGAATTTTAAAGAGTTGAAATAGGATGAACGGATCATATAAACCCGAAGGAAAATATAATACAAGCCCAAAAAAAAAATATAAACATGTCTAAATTGAAAACGACGTTCAAACCTATGATTGCGTTGGATAAAAACCGCAATTTTTATACATGTGCATGCAAAACAAATTTCTTGGTAGAGGGGTCTAAATACAGCACAAACAACATTTGCCAAAAGACCAAAAAAGTGAAAAAGTATATTTTAACAAAACGCATTTGACTAACAGGTCGAACAACTGATGTTCTTAAACCCCGCTGACTGCCATTGGCGATTGCCTATATATATATATATATACAAAATTTATTAGATATCACACAACAAAAGAAATGTAAAAAAAAAGAAAAAAGTTTTATACATACCGTGAAATGATACGGACAATGAAATACTAAAGTCACTTAGCATATAAGTTTGTGATTAGATGTAAGAAGATGTGGTATGAGTGCCAATGAGACAAATCTCCATCAAAGTCACAATTTGTAAAAGTAAACCATTATAGGTCAAAGTATGGTCTTTAACACAGAGCCTTGGCTCACACCGAACAGCAATCTATAAAGGGCCCCAAAAATGTTTGTCAGTTTAAGGGGAACCTTTAGTGATGGGCCAATGATATTTGGTATTCAGTTGTATTAGTATTGGCACATCACATTTCCATGGAGATTATTTGGCCCTGTACATTCAGTCATGTTTTTTTTATGCCCCCGCAACTGAAAGTTGGGGGGCATATTGTTTTACCCCTGTCCGTCCGTCCCATTATTGGTATATAGTTAATCCGCATAACTCCTCCTACAGTTTGAATCCTAGGAAGTTTTCACTTTGCTGTCTGTTTGTACATATATTGAAGGTGTGCATGTGGTCAGGGTTTTGATTTTTATTAATATTTGCTCTTTTGGGAGATAGTTGAACTTTGTCAATTTTTGGAGTATTTACTTTCATAAGAGGAGCGTTTCCAGATAACTCCTCCTACAGTTTGAATGCTAGGAATTTTTCACTTTGCTGGCTGTTTGTACATACATTGAAGGTGTGCATGTGGTCAGGGTTTCGATTTTTATTAATATTTGCTCTTTTGGGAGATAGTTGAACTTTTGTCATTTTTTGGGTGTAAGCGTTAATTTAAATGTTATAGTTATTTTATAATAACACTTTGCATCTGCGGGGGCATCAATTGTGTCTCCCAGACACAATAATATCTCAAAGAAAGTCATACATTGACTTTGTTATAATACAGTTACTTTAGAGTGGAGTCACTTTGTCTAGTTTTCATTTCAATTTTACACAGGCAAATCACCACATTAGTTATGATACATATAAAAAAAATGTGGTATGATTGCCAATGAGACAACCCTTCACAAGAAACCAAATGCCACAGAAATTAAGAGCTATAGGTCACTGTACGGCCTTCAACAATGACTAAAGCCCATACTGCATAGTCAGCTATAAATCACAAAAGTAAAACAATTCAAACGAGAAAACTAACGGCCTGATTAATGTATGAAAAAATTAACGAAAAAAACAAATATGTAACAACAAACAACCACTTAGCTACAGACCCCTGACTTGGGACAGGCACATACATACAGAATGTGGCAGGGTCAAACATGTTGGGAGGGATCTCAACCCTCCCCTAATCTGGGACAGAAGTGCAACAGCACAACATTAGAACGAACTAAAATAAAATGCTTCGCTGGGGCGCAGCTTGATACGACCGCAGAGGTCGAACCCTGAACAGTTGGGGCAAGTATGGACACAACATTCAAGCTTGATACAGCTCTGAATTTGGATTGTTATTAAATATTTGACACAGCATAGGTTTCTGACACAGAAAGAATGTGGTCTAAGAACTTTTTTTAATTTACCTATTATGGTCCAATGTCCAAAATCAAAATACATGGTTAGATTCAGCATATCAAAGAACCCCATATATTCAATTTTTGTTAAAATCAAACAAAGTTTAATTTTGGACCCCAACTTGGACAAACTTGAAAACTGGGCCCATAATCAAAAATCTAAACACATGTTTAGATTCAGCATATCAAAGAACCCCAAAAATTCAATTTTTGCTAAAATCAAACTAAGTTTAATTTTGGACCCTATGGACCTTAATGTAGACCAATTTAAAAAACGGGACTTAAAATTAAAAATCTAAATACACGGTTAGATTTGGAATATCAAAGAACCCCAATAATTCAATTTTTGATGAAATCAAACAAAGTTTAATTTTGGACCCTTTTGACCTCAATATAAACCAATTTGGTAGCGGGGCCCACAAATAAAAATTCTAAATTCATGGTTAGATTCAGCATATCGAAGAACCCCATATATTCAATTTTTGTTGAAATCAAAAAAAGTTTAATTTTGGACCCCAACTTGGACCAACTTGAAAACTGGGCCCATAATCAAAAATCTAAATACATGTTTAGATTCAGCATATCAAAGAACCCCATATATTCAATTTTTGTTGAAATCAAACAAAGTTTAAATACTGGACCCTATCTTGGACCAACTTGAAAACTGGGCCCATAATCAAAAATCTAAACACATGTTTAGATTCAGCAAATCAAAGAACCCCAAGAATTCAATTTTTGTTAAAATCAAACTATGTTTAATTTTGGACCCTTTGGACCTCAATGTAGACCAATTTAAAAAACAGGACCCAAAATTAAAAACCTAAATACACGGTTAGATTTGGAATATCAAAGAACCCCAATAATTCAATTTTAGATGAAATCAAACAAAGTTTAATTTTGGACCATTTTGACCTCAATATGAACCAATTAGATAACGGGGTCCACAAATAAAAAATCTAAATACATGGTTAGATTCAGCATATCAAAGAACCCCATATATTCAATTTTTGTTGAAATCAAACAAAGTTTAATTTTGGACCCCAATTTGGACCAACTTGAAAACTGGGCCAAAAATCAAAAATCTAAATACATGTTTAGATTCAGCATATCAAAGAACCTCATATATTCAATTTTTGCTAAAATCAAACAAAGTTTAATTTTGGACCCTTTGGACATTAATGTAGACCAATTTGAAAACTGGACCCAAAATTAAAAATCTAAATACACTGTTAGATTCGGCATAACAAATAAATAAATGTGATCAAAGATTTTACAAATCTAATGCGCCATACTGTGCAATTAAAGATTACTTCTTGAAATTTTTCAATATTTGAAATTTGAAAAAAAAATAATATTTGAAGAATAATTCTTTTTAATTTCTGAAATCTGAAATGAGAAAAAATTGGCCCCCCACAATTTCTTTTTATCCCCCCCCCCCCCCCCTTTTTCCCCCAAAAAAATTCTTTCCCTCAAGATATGGTCATAATCTCAATTCAAATTTCCAATGGAGTTGGCAACCATAATTACCCATTTAAATTTACCATAGTGCTAACTTAATCTATTTTATAATAGAATTAATAAAAATATAGTGTCAAATCTTTCATATGGATTTTTTTGTAAAAAAAAAAGATGAAAACATTTGCAGATATTTTTACTGGTCTTCCTTTATAAATATGCATTTCTTTAAACATAATTTAAAAGCAGTGTAAGGGAAGTAACCAAAACGTTGTATTTGGATTACCTCCCTTACACTGTTTTAGATTATCTTTATTGTTCATTAACCATTACTTTATACATAATTTAAAAGCAGTGTAAGGGAGATAATTTCAATGATGTATTTGATTTATCTCCCTTACACTGCTTTAAATTATGTTTTGTACTAAAGTATTTGTCCATTAACCAGGACAACCTTGTTTTTCCCCCTTTTTTGCCCCTAATTCCTAAACGGTTTGAGCCATAACCCCCCAAAGCAAATCCTAACCATCCCTTTGTGGTATGGAAACTTGTAGTATAATTTCAGAGAGATCCATACACCGTTCCACAGTTATTGTCTGGAAACTAGAAAATGCTCATTTTTGGCCCCTAATTCCTTAACTGTTGGTACCATAACCCCCAAAATCAATCCCAACCTTCCTTTTGTGGTATTTAACCTTATGGTCAAATTTCAAAAAGATCCATTCACTTAAACTAAAGTTAGAGTGCGAAAACCATTATGTATTCTGACGACGACGCCAGACGACGACGACGACGACGACGACGGCGACGACGCCAACGTCATACCAATATACGACCACAAAATTTTTTTGCGGTCGTATAAAAATCAGTTGAAAAAGGCTGCACTCAACAGATGGATACAAATAGAAATACATACAACAAAAACACAGAGTGGACGTGGATGGGTACTTGTACATCCCAACAACAAACAGACACTTAGTACAAATCTGAGAGTGCAGATACTGACAGCTAGTTCAAAGCCAATAACAACTTAAAAAAAAAAATGCATCTAAGAATAAATTATCAATCAGTACACATCCAACATCCAATGGATTTAGTGTAAAGACATCATAAACAATCAGAAAAAAACATGACCTGGTGCAATGCCAAGATACAGGAAATGACAGATTGTAGATCCATGAAAGTGCATATGTATATAATAATAATGTTTAATAGGGTTGTAAACTATAGATATATTGAGAATTTTATCACATTGTTGTTTACAAAGCAAAAGCAACACTCATATTAGAAGTAAAATAAAGCTTTCATTATGTATGCTTAAATAAGATAATATTATAACAGTAAATAAAATTCTTTTTTTTATCCTTTCAGATGAAGAAACTTTCAAAAGAGTGGAGCATTTAGAAGACGGAACAATCAAATATTATTTGTTACTATTTCAGTAACTTTTCAAATGTTAACTGTTTAGAATATTCTTAAATATAAATATAATTGAATTTAATGTGGAAAGTGTTTTGTTTTTTTTAACATTTGGTAACATATGCCTCTGTTAGGGACAATTTTTTAATCATAAGCTGATTATTTTTAGATTTGTCATGGTAAACCTGCAAGGGACACAACTCTTGAAGAATGAACATTGTAAAATAGCTAGTCTGTATTGAATTGTTGTTTGGTATACATTTGGTTTTGCATTATTTGTTGTGCAATTTCGAATTCGACTTCTTTTCAAACATTGTATAAATTTAAAATGTAGCTGACTTTGACATTGGTATTCATACTTTTAGATTTTTTATGAATTGTCAAACAAACGCGATTATAAAGCAAGAATTTCAAACAAACAAAAAAAGAAATACTAACAGGAAGATTCGAAAGGTTTCAAACATGTAGAAACAGTCTCATGGTTTAAATAAGATTTGGATTTATATATATATATATATATATATATATATATATAAGTTTTAATGGATGCTTAACATCCAGCCACAAATATTACATACATATTCAGGATGATAACAGGTTGATAAAACATGCATATGAGGTAACTGATAATCAATATAAGACAATTTATTGATGTATAACTCACTTTTACAGTACTTTTACCATAAAGAACCAGAGAAACATCTTCAAATAGAGATGACCAAGAACAAAAAATGATATGTCAATGAGAGCAACAAAGACGATATTTCATTTTTCCTAGTGGCTGCTTCACATAAAAGTCTTGTTGTATTATCACGTTTATATCACTTGGCTTTATATTAAACGTGAATATCACGTTGTATTATCACGTTGATATTATGTGGATTTATATACAACGTGAATATCACGTGAGACGAACGTTTATTTCACGTTGTGCTCACAACGTGAATATTACGTTTCTGCTCGTTTCACGTTGTACTCACGTGGTGTGGACAACGTGAATATCACGTGATTCCCATGTTAAAATCCCGTTGGAAAAAATTGCCTGTGTATGAGTCTGACTTCATACAGGAACTTCTTAGGAAGAAAAAAAAAGCATTGAGAAGTATCCTTTAACTTCACTTTCCGCTATAATGATGATGTTCTCTCACTATATAATTCAAAATTTGGTGACTATGTTGATCGCATCTATCCCATCGAAATTGAGATAAAGGATACAACAGATACAGTTAAGTCTGTCTCATATCTTGACTTACATCTAGAAATTGACAATGAAGGTCGTTTCATATCATGATTCACTTGATATAGAAGGCTACTGGTTACAAGGAAGCTATTGAATCAAGGATTACAAATGGTCAATTTTTAGAAAGTTTTACGGACACCATAATGATTTCGTTAACCTTTATGGTATATCTGTGTCACATATGACCAGGGATATGTCCAACTTGTCGTAACCTCTATCTCACCACCTTTTCCTCAATTGCGACATCAACGAATGCAAAATATATTTACCTGCAATAAGAAACACGACAGATACCACTAGTGGAGCACATGAGGTCATATTTTGCCTGGGTTCGTGTTCTTTAACTTTAAAATTTCTGTGAAGTGTTCTGTGAAGTGGAGCACATGAGGTCATCAGCAGGTTTTGGCTGGGTTCGTATTCCTTAACTTGAAAATTTCTGTGAAGTGTTCTATTATTGTTGTTTGTCTTTTCGTCGTTTTTGGTTATGATGTTGTTTCTTTTTATCGGACTTATGATTTCTAATTGCACCCTTGATTATTCATTCTCGTTTACAGAAAAAAAAAACAAAGAAGGAACAGTCCTAACATTAACAACTTAGACAGTGTTAAGCCAATAGCCCCAAATATAGAATTTGGAAGCCCATGCTCCAGCAGGTTATGTTAAAATTACGAATAGGTTAACCTATACGACGTGTCTGCGTCTTAAAGAAAAAGAAACATGTTTTCGTGTCATATAAATATTCGTCCGATCTATGAATTAACCGATCGTGTCATATAACCCTATTGTGACATTTTACGTTATGGTAACTGTTTTTGTAGAAATTGTAGAGATACGAGTAACTGAGTTAAGATACGCGTAGGTTAATGAATTGCCAAATTTATATCATGCATATTCAGGATGAGAATAAGTTAAACATATATCAAATGGTCGAGTCTGATTCAACTTGAGCAGGGAGAATTGTCACTGAAAAATAAGGCTGGGAGAAATGGGTAGTAAAAATCTCCCTGGTGGACTATTCGAAGGTTCCGTTCAATAGTTCTTTATTCTTTAAAGTGCGGACAACTTCACATTTTTCAGCCTGTATCATTTAGATGTCTAATTAGCAATCATAACACATCTTATTTTCATACTCATACAGGAAAATAAAAAAATGAATATTGAATGCGGTAACCGATATGCTTGTGTTGCTTTTCCTCATCTTGAAACTTGTTGGATAGTTTTCAGTATTAAAGTATACTGTATAGAACAAATTCTACGACCAAAATTGTTTCGTTTAATTTCAATGGTACCACTTCTGGAAAAATGTTATAGTCCTCCGGTTATATGGGAATTTCTAAAACTTCTACGACACACTGGTGCAATAGTAGTTTCAATTAATATTAACCGTGTTGTGTAGTCAGTCCTTTGATACTGACATTATTCATATACATTATATAAAGGTATCGGAACAATTATAAAATTGAGAGTGGAATTATGCTTGTTTTTTGTCTCCGATTTTCTGATTTTGTATTTAACTATATCTTAATGATGATGTCATGTTTAGATAGAAAAATATATATACAAGTTTCGACGATTTAAACAGAGCAAAAGCTGGAATTCGCATAGCTAATAATTGATGCAAAATACAAATTTTACCTTCAGTTTTTTATCTCTTAAGATATCTTCGACATTGTTAAAAATATCAGATTTAATCTTTTGCTCCATGGCTTAAAAAAAATTTCTTTATAATTACAGGAAAATACACAACTTTCATAAAATGAAGACAGGGAAACATCGCGTTATCCAAAAGCTTCCATCCGTTTCCTTGTTTTTTTTCTGTTTTTGATCAATTTACGATATTTGAACATAGATAAACTACTGTTGTCTTAATTCAAGTCTAACTCATTTTGCGGTACTAAAAAAATCTTTTGAAATTAATAGAAAATTTAGAAGGATTTTTTTAAAATCAACCTATAGTTGAAAAAGAGAGGTGTTAGATACCAAAGGGATATTCATTGGCAGAAAACAAACTGACAACGCAAAGGCAGTAAACGAAAAACGACCATTGGACAAACAACAGTATACAAAACAAAACATACACAACTAAAGACTGAGTCACGAACCCCACCAAATATCGGGTGATTTCAGTTGCTCCGGGAGGGTAAGCAGATCTTGCTCCATATCTGACAGATGTCGTGTTACTCTGATAAAATACGGTGATACCACGGAAGTAAAATGAATACTGTCATGGATATATCAAGTAATTAGATACCATGCAATACCAAAAGACCTCACCAAATTCTTAAACCATTCGTCTTGTAAATTTCCCAACCCTGAAACTTGACTGAATGTGCTTGACAAAGGATATACAAGACTGTTACACGTACAAAAACACAGACATTGGAAATTTAATTAGTACAAATAACAACAATTGAATCTAAAGAAAGCGCAACACGAACCCCTTTAAAACAGAACTAGGGTAGATCTCAGGTGCTCTAGAAGGGTAAGCAGTTCCTGCTCCACACGTAACACCCGTCGTGCTCCTCATGTAAGTACAAGCTTGCATTTGGTAATAAGTCTAATTCGAGGATGTCACATACGAGTAATGATCATCTCCCAAATTCTATTATAATTTCAATCATCAGGTTCGAGCATTATGATAGTATATTCACGAATTTATGATTAAAAGACTGCATATATGAACTAAAACAAAATGGGGATTTAGATTACACAAAATTGGTACCTCCAGCAATAATTATAAAATTGAAAATAATGTACAACAACAAAGAAAGAGGGTACCAGTTTTTGATTTATAATCGACTCCTACGTTTTCATGCCAAAGCTTTAACATTTTCGAGATATCTTGTATGTACATTGAAAATCTGCACCTCTATTTGTGTACGCATACGTTTTTTTTTACAGAAGGAAACTTAAATCGACTTAGTTTAAATACTTTATTGGGAAGATATACTAATTTTTCAAATTTGCACGAAATTTCAAGTACCTATTTTCAATTATTATGCAAACATATAATAAAATTTTGAAGTCTCTGATTAGACAATTGAAATTTCCTATTAGGAAAATTAGAAGTCATCTCTTTTGATTTCGAAATATTTGTTGAACGAACGTCGCTATCATTTATTAGAGATGAATTATGATATAAAGCAGACATAACTGTATTTGTGGTATCCTTTATTACAAATCGAATGGAATAAATGATCGAGGTCATAACAGCTAGTAACAAATGTTTAATTATTCAGTAAGGAACATGAAAGGTTAAGTTGAAAAAATATGCACTCTTCTTTTCATTCCTCGCGATATGCCATTGTTTGAAGTCTATATCATTCATGTGCAACCATGAACGACTGAGCTAACTCCCATAACTCAACCGCTAACGGCTGCAATATCAACGGCTGGCTAAGTATCTACTATGCAAGGGAGGCAATCCCGTCACACTAATAAAAGAACAAGTTGGCGATAAGAGAATCACAATTGGTTTAGTTAGGAATGTCGACTGTGTGTTGAAAAAAACCCCATATTTTTTTATTATTAATACAGAAATTGAACTTTACTTCTCTAAGAAAAATGTAAGTTATGTCAAATATATACTTGGATAAACGGAATTATCAAAATCAGCATGACAATTTATTTTCGAGGTATACAAACGAAATGTAGAGATTTTTTAATGTTTTTTTGGAAAAATCTTGCTCAGAATTCACCTTTTACATGTTGCTAAAAATAACGTCATTTAGTCTCTGGTTGATAGTTGTCTCATTGGCAATAATAACCACATCTCCTTATATATTTGCGAATCAGCATGTACAACTGATGAAATACATCAAATCGTGAAAATATAGGAAGTTGGCTATGCAAGAAATGATTGTAAAATCAAAGAAAAAATACCGATAATAGAAAACAGGTCTAGTGCACGGGTATCATTCGGTATATCGAGAAATTTGATAGTGAAAGAATGACTAACGGTGGTCAAGCATAGCTATTGGATCGTGAAAGATCTGGTATCGGATCGTGAACGCAATTAAGTGTTAATCTATTTCAAAATCTGTGAAAAATCTGCTGTATTTTTAAAAAGGTGGAACAAATCAAAAACACCCAACTTCCTTGATAATACTGTGCACTTCGCTCGAGGCACTACGATAAAGAAAAAATGCAGTACTTTTTAAGAAAACACAAAAAGCAACACATAATCCTATGAGAATCTTTCCGAAAAAAAAATCACG